TATACAATTAAATATACAGAGTTTGCAAATGAGGAACACAACCAGAAAAATCTGAAATCTTAAACTATATGATATGAGAAAGAAGAGAAATGGTAAATCCTATTGGCGAACAGAAGGATATTTACACAATTAGGTAAAGGTAAGAGAAAAAACTAGTTAGAAATAGAGATAAAAGGAAAGAGAGAAAAAAGAAATCAAAGAAAGAGTAAAAATAAGTGACAAAATTAAAGTGTGAAAATTAAGAAAGGGAAGAGGAACAAACAAGTAAAAAAAAAAAAAAAAAAAAGAGATTAGAAGCAAGGAAGAAGGACAAAGGTGGGGTCTGTGTCCCTTAGCTAAACTTCTCAGGCAGCATCCTTCTTGCCTGACTTCAGCTCTTTGCCCACGGCTGGCTGCCTACTGTGGCTTCTCTTACCCAGTCAGTGTGGCAGTGTGACTGAGTAAAAGAATATAATGCTGGGAGTCCTGAGCTGACGTTGTTCTATGGCTGCGTGAGTTCTAGATTAAAACAGTCAACCTTTCTCCAGAATGACATTCAACCAAACGCTCTCCAGGGAACATGTGAGTGCTTGGACTGGTGTCACTTACCGGATATTGCCTGCTGAAGGAGTCTCAGTGGCAGTAAAATCCTGTGCTCTCGCTGTAGCTCACAGCACCTGCTTATCCATTAGACTACTGCATTTTCCTCTGAGGCCCTCTGGAGTCCCCAGCTTGTGCCTTGTCCCTATAAATCTGATTCCCCTGATCCTGGAGCCAGGGAGAAAAAGTGCAGAATATCTCTTCTCTTCTCCACGCTGTGTTCTGTCTCTTCAGCTTCTCTGTAGGTTTAATTTTTCCTGTCAGGTTCTTCCTGGCTACTGGGGATCTACTTCTATTTTTTCTTTTCCAAATTGTTATTTTCCAGTGTCTGGATTCTAAATCTCAGACAGCCTGAGTTGTTGCTTGCCATTCTGCCATTTTCCCAGAAGTTCCAACACTACTAGCTATTTTGAAATATTCAATTAATTACTGTCAACTGTAATTATCCTATTGTGTTATAAAATATTAGAAGTTATTCTTCCAGTCTAGTTGTACTTCTATATCCATTATGCATGATCTCTCCATTTTAGTTTTAACTTTAAAGATTTGGTGGTAATTTCTGCCTAGTGACTATTCTTTATTTCTAATATACATTTATATATCTATATTCATTTAGAAATAGACATATACCTTCATTCATAAAATCTGACCGGTTTCTATATTAAAGTACAAAGAAGGTAAAAATGGACCATGAGCGCGGCAGTGAAAATAGTTAAGCAGAATACCTATTTGTAAAGTACAGCTATTCATAAATATAAAATATGAAGAAATACTTTAGTTTCTTATTTTGCTTTGTCCCATATACTTATTTTTTAGGTGAAAATTCTGTAATAGGTTGGTATCCATCCTATCATCCCTAAAGGAAGGTTAAACATAGAATATTTAACTTCTCATGAAATGACTCAGGATGTTTCCAGTTGAGAGAAGTTAATAACATGAAATAATCTAAAGAATTCTCGGTGCTTCGTAGTTAAAAACAAACTACTACTGACCACAGTAACAGTAGGTATAATTCAATAAAGGAAGAGCATATAGTAGCTTCAGAAATTGTGATTGTAGTTGTCATTATAGGAGTCCGCTTTCTAACCCTTGATTTTGGTGGTAAGAAGTCATTTTCTGGGCACATTGCCATTTTCCCACCAGGTTTCGTATCCTAGTGAGCATACGAGATGTTCCTTACAACAAAATAAAAGTCTTAATCATCAGCATTGGAAACTTATTGCACTTATTAACAATTCACACTAATTGGCCCATTAAATCCCTCTTAGGAGCAGAGGGAGCACTATAAAATTATGTCTGTAGTAGGGAGTTATTTTGAAAAGGTCATCATTTTTCTCCCACAGGAAAATACTGGCTTATATTTCATATCAACCAGTAGTCAATTACTTTTGACAGATGCAAGAATGCAAGAACACAAGCTACAGTCAGGTATTATCCTGAGCCTAAGCCAAGACCAGCTTCCCTGAGAAGAGCCAGTTCTGTGGTGTTCACACAATCTAGGGTGAACATCAAGACAGTGCCAGTGGGACAGATTGCAGGTACAGACACCAGAAGTCAGTAAATTCTGCAGTTGCCCAAGACTCTTATGATACATATTCAAATATATTTGATTTCAAGCTTGGTTATTCTTTCCTCTTTTTGTCCATTTGACTGATGATTCTATTTAAGATATTCTATGTTAATATGCTTCAGATTTTACTATTTCTTTCTGATTCTTTGGTTATCCTACATATTGTCTGGTTGTTCATGTATTTTGTTTCCCTCTGTTTTTCATTAAAGCCCTTCTGTATTAGTCACAGTTGTTCTAAATGATCAGTCTGATAATTCCAAAACTTCTCCTATAGATGATTCTGGATCTAATGGCTGTGCTCTGTCTTCAAACTGTGCTATCTTCAGTATAGCTAATAATTTTGTGTTGAAAATGGACATGTTGTACTTAGTAAAAGGTAGCTAGTTCTGGCTCCAGAGCTGGTTACTGTTCTCCTGGACTTCTACTAAGTTATGATTCTTTACATCATCCTGTTGCTCTGTATTTGGGGGCAGTCATTTGCCCAAGAGGAAGGACCTAAGAAGTGTTGTTCATTTTCAGTCTGTTCAGCTTTTTACTTATAAGAATGGAAGTGACAGAAATCAAGCAATAACAAATGCTGGAGGACTTGTGGGGAAAAAGGAACCTTCCTCTGCTGTTGGTGGGAAACCAGATTGGTGCAACTGTGGAAATCAGTGTGAAGAGTCCTCAGAAAACTAGGATTGGCAGTCTCATTCAACCCACCTATTCCTCTTCTGAGTATCTTCCCAAAAGAATTAAAAACATCACACTATGGTGATATATGTGCACCCATGTTTAAACAACACAATTTTTAATAGTTAGAAGTTGGAAACAAAAATGCTCATCAACTGAGGAATAGATTAAAAAAAAAAGATGTGTTTTTTTATACAATGGAGTACCACTTAACTATAAAGAAAGATTAACTAGACACTTTTATAGGTAAATAGATGCAACTTGAGATCATATTCATAGTGAAATAAATAAGACACACATGTGCAAATACTACATTATTTCATTAGTGTGACAAGCTGAAAGAAAATCATATGTACATGTGTATGTATATAAAAAATAGTTAAGATTTCTTTGAGTTTGCTAAACAGAAAGATTTGTGCTGGTATTGCTTGGACAATTGAATGCAGATGTCTTGAGCTCTGAGTGAATCATTTGGGGATGACAATATACAATGTATGTGCCATTACTGCCCCTGATTGATGTATTTTGAAATTTTGTTGTAGTTTTTCTTCTTTTTTTCTTTTCATTCTGAATAAATGGATTTTTAAAAAGAGAAGAACGGGGATGATGATTCTCAATTTCTGTGTACTGGGGCAGACACCAGAAGTCCCCTCTTCTTAGATTCTTAAGCAACAGAAAACTTACTACCAAAAATGTTTATCATGAATGTAAGCAGGTTATACAGTCAAAGGATGAGGGGGCTAAGACTTCTCACGAGCTTTTAGCTATGAAGTTCTTCATGCCAAGAAACAGATTCAATACTGATACTAAAATAGGCAGAAAGTGAAATTATTCCTTTTTGCTTGTTCTTTTATTCCAAACACTTTTTGAAGAATGAATGCCCTAACCCTAATACTCCCTATTACATGAAAGCCCATTTCAGTGAGCACAAAGAACCTGCAAGTCCACGCAAACGATGGCTCACGTGCAAGTGATGACACTGAAATCCAGTGGCCGGTAGCTGGGAGCAGAAGTTAGTGAAGTGAGGCAAGGTAGTAGTGTTTTCTTGAATTCCTGCTTTGGAACAGGTGAGGAAGGTGGAAGAAAACTCTACAGCTCAGCATGAAGTCAGCCCTTTGCGCTCCTTATAAGAATGGGAATAGAGAAAGAAGCTGAAGGTGTAGAAGCCAAGCATGGGAGTCACCCAGTTGTGGATCATGATGAGGCTTGCCAGCTACTTCCTGGACTCAAGACTGTGTGTCATCAAGCTTCCTAAAAGCTTGCTGACCCAATGGAATTTCCTAGGTTTGCCTCACTCATCGGGCAGGGCTTGTCCACAGACTCAGCCATAGCACGGTAGCAGCAGGAATGCGTTAGACTCCACAGATGATAGTGGTGGTCAAGTTCACCCAGTCATCTGCCACCCATGCAACCCTGCCCAGCTTCTTAGAGCTACTGTAACAAAAGACCACAAATTGGGAGGCTTAAGCAATAGATATGTATTCTCTCACAGTTCTGGAAACTGAAAGTCAAAATCAAGATGTCATGAGAGCCATATTTCTCGTGATAGCTCCAGGAGAGAGTATTTCCTTGCTTCCTGCAGCTTCTGGTGGCCCCAGCTATTGTGTGGTTTATCTTAGCATTACTCTAATTTCTGTTTCTGTCTTTACATGGCTTCTCCTCTGTGTTTGGGTCTTTTTATCTGTCTCTCATAAGAACACTTGTCTCTCACTCTCTGGTAATCAAGAGTGATCTCATCTCAAGATTCAACACAATCTACAAAGACTCTGTTCTCTGTTTTCCACATAAGGATTCAAATGCGCATGTGTGTTTTAAGGGATATTATTCACTATAGGACACTATTCACTATAGGACATGATTTAAGTCTCCTGACAGCAGAGATTTAAGACTTGTAAACCATAAGCTGCAACCCTGGTTACACGATGAGCTGGCTCTTCATTCCAAAACATCAAAAACTATATGAAGCATCCAGAGGGGAGCCGATTTCACAGACTACCTTAGAGTGTACCTGCAAATAATTCTTTATCATTCCTTCCATGCAGCAGAGGAGAAACAGCAAAGGAAGCTGAGTTCTTCCATGGAAAAACTCCATGGCCAAGCATCCTAAGGACTCCAGAATGCTTTGCTGTAGTTTCTGGCATGCTGTGAAGATTGAAGATTTAATTAACTTTTCACTCACCAGCACATTCACGGTACAACTCATGCGATTCTCTTTATTTTCGTCATGCATGATGGTTCTGTAGTCCAGGAGCCTCTCCATCAGGCGCACGACGAGTTTCACAAAAGTCTCTCCTGTTTTGGCGAGGTATTTATGCTTCCTGCAGTGCTCCAGGAGGCTGAAAAATAATTATGCACACCTTGTTAATCACACTCAGAAACACAAACTTGATGGAGGTGCAATTTCAAATATTTTCCATTATTAACACATTTTAATTATTTCTGGGCTACAAAGTTCATTGTAGTCTAATTACAGTCTCTCTGTCTCTATTCTGACATAAATCCCACTGCTAATCAACACTTACATTTTATCAAATAACACTTTGTACTGTTCATCTCCTCTGCCTCCTTCCACTTCATGATCCAGCTTGGTGATGATCTCATTTTCAAACTATAATTAAACAGAGGAAGCATAAATAATCAGCATGGCAGATATTTCATTTTATGACTTGAGTATCAATAGTATATAAATCAGCAGGATCATCATCAAACAGTTACCCTCTGCCTTTGAAGGCTGATTTCATTTAAGAGATGCCATCCCTAGACTCCTGGAGTTTTCTGATGATCCCTGGCCACAGGGGAATCCTTCATTTCCTTTCCTGGGAAATGGAGCCTGAATATGTATATTCTAGTAGTGGAAATAAGAACCAGAGAAAGACAGACAAGGAAACTGTAGGGAAAATAATCAAGGAGTAACAGGACTGTCACAAACTTCATCTCCATGAACAAGTAACATCTGAAATAGCACATTGTTTCCTGGGATGGAACAGATGGCAATTCATTTGCCACCAAGGAATTTTCAGCAATTTGAAAACATCCATTGGGCCACTTCACTGTCATTCTGTGATGGATCCCAGTGAAGTATCTAACTCAGATAGGGAAAAAAAAAAAAATATATATATATATATATATATATATTTAATATTTATATATAATATGTAAATATATTTATATATAATATATAAATATATATTATATAATATTATATATAGGCAAGAAGGGCAAAGTCCCTAAAGACAGATCAGCAGCCACCTCAAGAATGTCCATCTCCAGACTTGTTCTCTACCCATAAAATATTCTGAAGAGATTTTCTGAGCATCAGTGTGGGAAAGGGTCCTCAGAACTGACTGAAAGTATCCAGATTTTCTACTTTAAAAAAAAGCCTGAATTTTACAGGCTGGGCTTGGGGGTTTCAAATCTTCAAAATTTCTTCAAGGGCCAGGTGGGGCTGAAAATAATAACCACAATAATATTCATGTTTTCTTTGTCCTTTTCCCCGAGAGTAGAGATCCTAGTTAATTGGCCACAGAAGGACCTGAGATCACCTATGAAGGTGTGTTGCAGGAATAAGAGGCCATGAGAGCACTAGCTTCTATATAGATATAGATATTCAAACTCTAGTGGAAAGAAAGTGGGATAGTGGAGAATTGAGGAAAATAATAATCGAATTCAGGGTTCAGAAAGTAAGCACACCGTGTTGTATATGGAAGAGTCTCCAGGACCCTAGTAGATACAGTGAGCCATAAGTTAGATGGAGCTGGGGGAATTTAATATGTCAGCATAGTAGCCAATGGGCTGCGGAAACACAACTTTCTCTCTGAGCCTCATCAAACCAAGTAGTGAACAGTGTTTTAGACAATGACAGACATCCTGGGCTCCAGTCTCTGAGCTGGAGACTCAGGGTGCTTTGGCTGCAGTGGCAACTGCTGTCATCCCCTGAGAAGCAGAAAGCAAGACCCAGAAAGGGCCTTCCAGTTGGCATAGACCTTCCTATCTCCCATCAGGACACATCACCATGACTTATACAGCTGTGGATGCAAGCAAAGCTTTGAGCAGGGCTGGAGTGGTGCACTGGTTGGTGCATGTCACCAAGGACACAGCAACCTCACAGCAGCCCAGACCTTTGTAAGTCTCCTTAAGTCCCTTCCTGATCTTCTCATGATCTCCTTCCCACATAAACACCTCTCTTTTATTCTATTTGGCCTAAGAAGCTCAGGGATTTTAGGAATGTAGAGAGAAGCTTCCATGAAAATAAGCACAATGATTTGTACCCCCCTTCAACTGGAATGTCACAATAATGACTTTTCCTGTAAAATAGCAATCTTCTGATACTAACCCACTATCACTCTTCTTTACACAGAATAAAGTGCTGTAAGAGGTCATCCTTATTAGAACCTAACACAAGGGAGATCACCTTCAGCTAACCCTAAAGATGGCATTTCAAGAGAGCCCTATCTTCCAGGTGACATCATAATCAGGGTGCCAGACACTACATGATAAAAAATTGTTGTTTCAGAAAAAATAATTAAGGTGTAAAGTAAGGTTGAATTTAACGAAACATTATGGTTCAATTGTACATGTGTTAAATGAGTACTTACAACTGAGGAGGTATACAGAATACAGATAACTATGCCTTATTCCACCATGGGCAAGCACTCAAAGTCACCTAAAACTATTCATCGCCAGTCAATCACAAGGTTTAAACATATAGTCTATTTTGAGAAAATGGCATGTTACTTCTGCTTCTATGAAAATCTAGCTGTCACAAACACAGGCAATAAGGAGGCTCCAGCTCCTTAAGTATGCTGCTTATCAAATTTTGACTGATGAACTTAATGTTTTCTAAAAAGAGTGGATGAATGATAAGTACGTAAGAACACAGCTGATTCTAATTTTACTAACCTCAAGCCTAAACTAAGTAATTTGCACAGACACCTGGCAACTCCATTCTGTTTATCAGCAATGATTCAATATGAGACATCAGCAGTCAAATGAATTCCAGTGTCTTTGTTAATTTTTACAAACCATACTAGAATCAATTGGCTAGTTGGTGTGACCTATTATCATAATCAGAATTAAATGATCCTGTCCAAATAAATTGGAGGTAGCTCACCTTCTGGTAGAACAAAGTTGGTTTTATAAAAATCATGTTTATTATGTTACTCTTAAGTACATGCTCTCTGGTGATCTGCAGTAGGGTTCTGAGTAGCTAGGATAAAATTAGAAAGACTTTACTGTGCTTCGCAGAGGTGGCAGAAAATCATTAGATTTTCTTCTCTTTTCTAAATCACCAGTTTTTACAAAAATATTCACAATGTGTTCAACTTAAAATATTGAGCAGAGCATCACTAAGTATCTGATACCAGAGGTCCTCTAATAATATGAAAATATTATATAAAAGAGATCTGGAGCTGAGCATGGTGGCCCACATCTGTAATCCTGGCACTCAGGAAGCTCTGCCATGAGTTTGAGGTTAGCTTGTGGTACAGTGAACCCTCCAGTTACAACTGGCCTCACATATGAACAACTTGGGGAATGGTCAGACTTTTTGGATTAACTTATGACCAAAGTCTTGAGTTATAACCCAAATGTCGACCACTTGTGCTCTTGTAAATAAAGACTCACAATGCCAAGAAATCATATGTAGTATACATATCAATACGCACCCAGATGTGCATGTTTGTTTATGTGATTTTGGTGAGTGTTTTATATTATTGTCAGGATTACTGCTATCAAAATGGAAGATGAACTGGCTCTCAGTTCATCTCAGTTCTCAGAAGAATTCCATGGCCCTCAGTCAAGTTCCTCCCGCCTAATACAACTTCTCTACTGTAGCTGATGGGTTAGCAGGTTATAACTAACTTTAAGAAGCTATACACTAAGGAATTGTTCCTGAAGTGCTTTCAGATGGTCTCAGACATAGATTTAACCCTTAAAAGAGTTCTGGAAGGAACATTAAAACATTCTTTCCTATGTGAGGTTAACTGAAAAATCCTGGGCCAGTGTCTCTCTAAGGACACTGAGACTTGCCTGGAAGAAGTATGGCCTAAATTATACAAGAGAGAGGTTTTGAAGACTGTGTAGAGCAGCCCAGATCTTCAGCTGACCCTATGGTTAATGACACTGTCACTATAGCAGATTCCATAGGCTTGCAGGTAAGCAGTGGTGATGTTGAGGAACTGGTGGAAGAGCAGTCAGAGGAACTTCAGCAACTTCTGGATGAGCAAACAGAATGGGAGTTGAGGAGCTTTCTGAAGAGGAGCAGGAATACCAACAATCAATGCAGCAAACTTCTTCTAAAATAAAGGAAATCCTACAAAAATGGACCGGGCTACAACATTTGTAGAGAAACCCACTCAGGCACAGAAAAAGCCACTTCACTTGCTTAATGACAATTTTCATGCCACAGGACAGAACAGGGCTACAAAAATAGAGAAACAGACAACCTTAGGTCAATTCTGAGTTCTGTAAAGGTTGAGACCTGGAAAGCCGGAAGCAGGTCCTAGCGGGTTACAGAACCTCTCAAGGAGAGCAAGGACACCAGCAAGCCGGATTCTTGATGTTCTTATGGAAGAGGATTCTCATTCCACACAATAACCACCTTCCAGTTCATCCTCCCTTTCTGTCAGCTAGAATGGTGAAATTGTTGTTTCTGGTGAACTAGGCACATTTTATAACTTTTTGGTGAATACACTAGGAAAATTATTGGTGTTTCTAGTAAATTATGCAAATTTTACAACCGTTTTTATTATGAAAAGGTTAGTTAAGGAGTGCTTTGGGAGGTTTGGAACACATTATTGCTATTTCCACTATTTCTCATGTGAAAAATAGTCTTGACTTACAATCACCTTGAGTTACAACTAGCCAATGTGACAAACTGAGTTTGTAAGTCAAGGGTCCACTGTACCCAGTGAGTTCAAGACCAGTCTGAACTATACAGTAGGTCCTTGTCTCAAACAAAACAAAGCACAAACAAAAAACTAGAAATTACAACAAAGAAAAAAAAAAAGAACTAGGGTTATGTTGTAGCATGAGGAAGCTTGGCAAAAATAATTCAGCAGATGACAAAGGGCTTAGAGGTTATCAAGAGTTGGGTAAATCAGGAATCTAACTTGTGGTCTCTATATAATAGCAAAGGGTTATCCCAACCCTTTAAAAACAAACCTTAGTAAAATGTTGCTTTTTGTCTAAAAAGCACTGTTTTCTTCTGATTTTTAAGATAAAATGCACCAAAGATTCTATAGGTAGGAATATGGTGGATGTGTAGGTGATCTGGCTCCAACATGTGCCACCCTACTGATCACTGGGGTTGATTTAGCTGATCTGGCTGGCTGAGAGGGTGTCCTCTTTCTCCCTCAATCCTTCATGTGAGTCCTTCCCAAATGCTCAGTGGAAGAGGAAGACCACTCTCAATAGAGGAGAGACCATGCCTCAGTCAAGGGTATGCAAGTAGCTGCACTCCCGTGCTAGAACTTCTCAACAAGCTCTCAAGGAATATGGTGCATGATCACTTCTATTTTACATAGTACCAACAATCAGACTCTCTTTGCTTACCCCACTTCACAATGGAACCAGAAAATCTGATGGAACCACATAATTATGGTCTTTTTT